AACCTATGACTTTTCTCCCTTTTTCCAATAAAAATCATATTAGCAACCGTACACCCAAAAAAACCTTCTCCTTCTGGAATGTGATTAAAGATCTAAATCTTTTTCCATTTTCACTTAGCTTAAGCCCTTCCACCTCCTTACCCTCCAGCTCCAACTTCAAGTTTATGTTCCACAACCAGGAAGGCTCTGGTTGAGGATGACAATCTGGTGGCCCTTTGTCAAGATTCGACACTAGTCTGGTTTCAGTGCTGAAAATTGTGGTAAAGAGGATTTTCTCTCTCAAAGTACCTTAAAAACTAGGATTTTCTCTTTCTGAAAAATTCTAACATTCCACTCCAATCAAAGTGCTCACATGCCAGCATAGAAAGCCCCGAGAGTTACCTATTCCTTATGAGGTAGTATCTTGTCTCTGAAGTTGCATTTGAATATGCACTTCCTATGAATAAAAAGCAGGCAAGATTTGTCTAAAAAGTGTTTCTTTCTTTCTAAACACAAGATCAAAGGTATATCCCCTAATGGGCCCTTACAAAAGAGATTTTTTTAAACATAAAAAGCCCTTACAGAAGAGATTAAGGATTCTCTGTTAACGAATCCCTACTCTCTTCCACAACAAACCCATGACTTATGGGTGACTGCTTGAAGCACTTGTTCATTTGGTTGGAGTGACACAATTATTGGAAGTAGTCAGCCTTATGTCTTTCCAACAACAGTTTGATTTCATCATGAAGTTATCAGGATGAATGTGCTGTGATCAAGTAGAAAAAGAACAGTGAAGCTTGGAGAAGGGGGATAACTGGGTTGCCTTTGAGTCTGCAGTAGATGTGGCCTTAATTGTTAATGAGGTTGTTGACAATCTTCTAGAAGGTGGGGTGAGCTACATCTTATACAAGCTGGATGTATAGAAGCTTTATGATCATGTGGCTTGGAGGTTCCTCTTTTATATACTGGATGCATTTGAGTTTCGGTGAAAAAATGGTGTAGCTGGATTGAGGCTTGCATTACAACTACATCGCTGCTACTGTGGTGAATAGAGGACTGTCCACTTTCTTAAAAGCATCTAAGGGATTGAGACAGGGTGATCCCTTATTCCCCCATTACTTTTCATTGTGGTCGTGAAAGCTCTTAACAAATTTCTTTCCAGAGCAAGAGAGGTTGATTTGTTCAGGAGTTTGTGTGTCCGGAGGGGAGAGGAGAGGGTAGATGTCACTCACCTATTTTTTGTCGATGATATTATGTTATTCTGTTATCGGAATATAGGGTTCTGTGTGACATTAGATGTGTAGTAATTTGTTTTGAGGCAGTGTCGGCACTTAAAATCAACTTGTCAAAATCTGGGTTGGTCATGATTGGGTAGGATAATGAGTGGAACACAAAGATAGAATTTTGGAGTGCAAGTGTGTGAATCTTCCCATCAAGTATCTGGGACTG